CTCATAGATAAAGTATTTTTACGTTTAAATTTCTGGCTACATAAAATTTAAATTTAAATTATAGCATAATCATGACTTTAGAAAGTGTAAAAAGCATGAAAAACCCGGAACGTGGAAGTACGGGTGTAAATTGGTTGGTTCAATCGAGCAAACTCGGATAGTTTAAAATTTTTTAAGATTTAAGTAATATATTTTTAAATTTAGAATGAATTTAAACAAAAATTTAAAAATTTAAATTAAATTTGAATAGAATCTTAACAGAAACATCAACAAATTAACATTCAAATTATATATATAAATAATATTTATAAAAAATATTAGTTAATAGATAACTAAATAATATTTATAAAAAATATTAGTTAATAGATAACGTTAAAATAATTTAGATTGTTATATTATATTCAATATCTATTAACTTCAAAAATAATATAATATAAAATTTTATCTTTTTTTTTTCTTATTTAAAAATTGTAAAGACTACCACAACGCATCAATTCTTTTATTATTACCTTTTTCTTCTTCATCTCTCTCACATTATATAAATTATTTGTTGTGTTATTATTAATGATTTTATCAACAAAAAAGTATTGTTAGCTGAGACAAATTTTAACAAATTAATTAATTTGGTTACAATATATATATATATATATACAATTCAAGCAACTCGAACAATTCAAACTTAGCTAGGATTAGACTTAAGTAGACAATTAACGTCATTTTATAAGTTGAGTTTCAATAAACTTGGACAATTCTCAAAACAATTCAAACTAAAATTAAACAATATTTTAGGCTTTGTTTGATTTATAAATTTAGAGAGAGATTTAAAAAATAAAAAGAAAATGTGTGTGAAATATATTTTACTTAAATAAATTAAATCTTTCTTTTCTTTTTTCACCCAAATTATACCTTTTCTTTTCAAGTAAATTAATATATCTTTACTTTTTTTTTTCTTTTCAAATTTTTCTCCAAACCTATAAATTAAATAAAGGGGAATTTTTTTTAAGGTCCCTGATATTAAGAATTTATAACATAAAGGACACTCAAAATTTTCATAATGTCTAAGGTCCTTCAACATCAATTCAGAGAAAATTCGATCCAGAGAAAATTCGGTCCAGAGAATTTCTCTGGAAAATCCAGAGAAATTCTCTCCAGACATCCAGAGAAATTCTCTTTATCCAGAGAAAATTCAGATAGTCCAGAAAAAATTTAGACATCCAGAGAAAATTCAGATAGTTCAGAGAAAATTCACAAAATCCAAGAAACTCTGCATCATCATGCATTTTATATGTTCTCTTACAAATATCTTTTCATGAAGAGTTGCTATCAAAATTCTGTTTGCTAATCCTAGTGCTCTTTGTAGATCAAGTCCAACAAGATGAGGTGGTTGACAGTAAGATCTTGCAATACCCTAGCATAGACAAGAAAGAAAAGAAGTCATTCCCTAGACTTCTAGAGAAAATTCAACTTCAAAGAGAAAATTAGTCCAGAGAAATTCTGGGAAGAATTTCTCTGGACTTTCCAATTTCTCTAACATTCCCTAGATTTCCACTGTAAATTTCTCTGGCCTTCCATTCTCTCCAGAGAAATTTCCATTCTCTCCAGAGAAATTGTAATGTGCTTCATCTTGTTTGAATATGCTATATTGTTGATATTGATTCAGAAATTCTACAATTGTTTGGGAAATTCCTATCATTTTCTTTGAATGAATTCAATAAATTTTTGTTGTACTTATCTACAAATTTTCCAGGGTATATCTATCCTTACCTAATTCCAAATTTCTCTGGACTTCTTTTCAAATTTATCTGGACTTCCCACTGTCCAGAGAAATTCTCGCCAAATTTCTCTGGATTTCCCACTGTAATTTCTTTGGACAAAGTAAGTTCAAGTCTCATCTTACCCTAAACTCTCTCTCACTCTCTAATATTTTTTCTTTGGATATATGGTTGTAGAAGAAGCTTCTGATTCTCCAAATTTCTCATAGCCATTATTGGTCATTCAAAATCAAAGAATTTCTCTAGTTACCTACCAGGAAATATTTCTTGGTTATCTAAACTTCTTTATTATTGGTCATTCAAAATCAAACCAAACCAGAGAAATTTGGGCTACCTAGAAACAAAAAAACAATCATAATTTTCTCTGTGTTTTGAACAAATTAGAGAAAATTGTAATTGTTTTTCTCTATGATTATTTTTCTAAGAAACATTTTATCAAACAAGTTAGCTTCAAAGCTCATAGCTATATGTTTTACAGTTCTAAAAAGAGTTTTGTCAAACCAAATCTCAATCGAAAGAGTCCATAGCTTGTTTCTCTGCAAATCAGCTCCATGGCATCAAGAGAGGAGGATACACGAACATGATTACAGAGAGCTGTACACGGGCTCTCTCTCTCGGCTTAGAGAGAGAAAGGAGAGAGTACACAGCAAGGAGAGACCCACACACCTAGACCATGCATGAGGGACGGGATGGAGAGGGCAACACAAAGAACGACCAGCTTCTCTCTCTATAATGGAGACATGCATACGGCAGACCAGCTTGTTGCTCGGACTCAGGACAACGTGGATGGAGAGGGGATGGGGTGAGGGACCTTAGACTACAAAAGAACAGATTATGGACTTAATCCATTACTAAAAGTTTGATAGGGACCTTAGACCGATTTTCCCTATATTATATATGTAATTAGATAATAACATTTAATCTAAAAAATGTTTTATAGTAATAATAGATTTGCAACACACAGATGTATACATATGTTTATAGAAAGGTTTGTTGGAAACAAGTTTTGGTCAGTTCTCATACCAACAAAAGCAATGAAAGCAAGTAGGAAGCGAGCATGTGGGAATGTAATAGAAATATGTAAAAGTCCATTCTGATTTCTTAGTTTGAAGTTCTTGAGAGATTAATGATGCCTATAGCTTGTCTCTGATTTTGTGTCTTTTGTTTTGTTTTTTTGTTTTTTTATTTTTATAATGATGTTATGATTTATATTGGTTTAATGGAATGTGTTACCAACGGATATTAATATAAGAAATGATGAACAAAATATAATAAAATAATATAGTTATCATGGTATTATAAAAATCGGTTGGAGGAGGAGGGGAGGCTGGGCAGACGACTGGGGCTGGTAGACGACGGTGGTGCTGCAACGTCGGTGGGGCTGGGCAGACGACCGGGGTTGGGCAAGGTGACGGTCTGCTGCGACGATCGGCGGTGGCTGTGGCGAGGCTCTGCTTCTCCTCTGCTTCTTCCCTTCCTCCTCTCTTCTCTCCCTCTTTCTCCTCTGTTTCCTCTCTTCTCTCCATCTTTCTCCATTTCGTGCCGTTTCGAGCCTCTAAAAATCGAATTACGAGTCATTTTCCATCATAATAATTCTGCAACTCTACCAAATGCAACCAATAGCTTTCTTGATAACGGCATTTGATGGGGGCACTGACATTCTTTGGGAGTAAAAAAATAAAAAAATAAATAAAACAAAACAAAAATACCTTCAGTTTCACTGCTATGCCTAGTTAGTTGTTTTTTTTCTAATGCATTATTTTAATATATATATATATATATATATTCAGTGGCGGAACCACTAGGGTGATGAGGGATGCCATGGCCCCCCAAGTTCTTAAAAATTACACTAATACCTCTATATTTATGATATTTATAAAATATATATTAAGATTACTTTCTAATTTTTTGAAAATCAATTTATTAACTATCGATTTTATTAAATTTTTACAATGTATGATGATATAATTTTCAACGATTTCTCACACTATTTTATGGTATCAATATAATCTAGTCATTTTATTCATAGAAGTGGTGTATGCCACCAATTTTTTGGTTTTTTGTTTAAAAAAATCAAAGAAGATGTATACTTTTTATTTAGTAGATATTGTCAACCAACAAAATAGTATTAATAATAATTCAAAACTTTAGAAAATAAATTTGTTAGATTTATTTTTGTCCTCATAAATTCTTACTTTTCCACAACTCTTACATAAAAAATAACTTCTATTTGTAATATACCAAAATTAAATAGTTTTTTATGCATACACCTTAGCATCCTTTAGCATAAATTTTAGTTCCGTCTTTGAATATAATTTTTTTTTTTAAGATAAAACCCATGATTTGATTTGTGCAGCAATGCAAATTCCATTTTTCTCTAGCATTAAGATTTTTATATGAAGGATTTTTTATTTTTTTATTTAACTGGATGCTCGGCCTAACTTGCACGCAACTTGACCAACCTCAAGATTTTGAAGTTTAGAATTAGACAAACCTCTCATGATTCCCTAACTTGACTCGAACTCAAAACCTCTAATCACTACAAAAATTTCGGTTTTTTTGCGACGGAAAAATGCCGTCGCAAATACTCATTATACCGTCTCAAAAAAGTTTTAGCGACGGCAAACGGGGAGTCACAACAGAGGATATTACAAAAATGTTTTAGCGACGGCATCATGCCATTGCCTTTTTTTGTGACGGCAAATGTTGCTTTTTGCGACGGTATTTTACGGTCGCCTATAGTGTGTAAAAAATAGAGACCTTTTGCGACGACACTGTTTTACCGTCACAAAAAGTTTTATTTGAGACGGCAAAAATTTATGTCGCACACATTGTTTTTTTTTTTTTTTGCGACGGCATTGAATATGTCGCCAAAGAAAGTTTTGGTTTTTTGCGACGGTATGGTGCCCGCCGCAAAAAAAACATGCAATAATTATTGAAAATAAAAAAAAGTTACCTTTTTTTGCGACGGTTTGGTGCCGTCGCAAAAAAAAAAAAAATTATCATGTTTTTTGCGACGGAGTGGTGCCGTTGCAAAAAAAATAAAAAATAAAAATCCCTGTAGTAAAATTATTAAAAATATTAAAATTACCTGTATTAAATGAAAAATAATTGAAAAAGAAACCAATAACTGCATAATAATATAAAAATTCTTGTATAGAAATAACAATTTTTTCATAATAAAAATATTCTTGCATTCATTACTACACATCAACAAAATTACCCCATTACATAATGTTCCATAATACAAATATGATGTTTAAATACATAATGTTGTTCATAATTCAAAATAACATAAACCAAAATTAAAAGTTTTCCTCATCATTCTCTGTGGTACAAAAACAAAAATTAGTGGAATTCTTCACAGGCATGAAATCCACAAAAAGCAAACTTCAACTCCGGAAATATCTGGAAAAAAAAAATAATAATTAATGATAATATAATTATGTTTTAATATGTTAATTACAAAAATAACATAAAAATTTAACTACTATATAATTACAAAGATAATTAAGTAAATAATTTTGCCTAGACCGAAATCTGGCTCTAACTCCCAAACCGAGAACACGATTCGAGTCCCGTCTTTTCCCACAAGTCCCCCGTGCCTAGGCAGTCGTGTATGCCAAGTTTCGTGTTAATCTGACGCCGTTTGGCGATTTTGGGGGTGTTAACATCTTGAATTTTAAGTTTCTTAAAAAACTAGTTTGCCTAGAGTGAAATTCGGTTCTAACTCCCAAATCGGGAACCTGATTCGAGTCCTGTCTTCTCCCACAAGTCTTTCGTGCCAAAGTGGTCGTGTGTGCCAAGATTCGTGCTAATCTGAAGCTGTTTGGTGATTTTGGTGCGTTAACACCTCGAATTCTAACTTTCTTAAACAACTAGTTTGCCTAAACCGAAATCCGGCTCTAACTCCCAAACCGGGAACCCGATTCGAGTCCTGTCTTCTCCTACAAGTTTCTTGTGCCAAGGCGGTCGTGTGTGCCAAGTTTCGTACTAATCCGACGCCGTTTGGTGATTTTAGGGGGTTAACACCTCGAATTCTATATTTTTTAAAAAACTAGTTTGCCTAGACCAAAATCCGGCTCTAACTCCCAAACTGGGAACCCGATTCGAGTCTCATCTTCTCCCACAAGTCTCTCGTGCCTAGGCGGTTGTGTGTACCAAGTTTTGTGCTAATCTGTCGCTGTTTGGTGATTTTGAGGCATTAACACCTCAAATTCTAAGTTTGTTAAACAACTAGTTTGCCTAGATCGAAATCCGACTCTAACTCCCAAACCGGGAACCTGATTTGAATTCCGTCTTCTCCCACAAGTCTCTCGTGCCAAGGCAGTCATGTGTGCCAAGTTTCGTGCTAATCCGACGCCGTTTGGTATTTTGGGGTGTTAACACCTCGAATTCTATGTTTTTTAAACAACTAGTTTACCTAGACCAAAATCCGGCTCCAACTTCCAAACCGGGAATCCAATTCGAGTCTTGTCTTCTCCCACAAGTCTCTCGTGCCTAGGTGGTCGTGTGTGCCAAGTTTCGTGCTAATCCGACGCCGTTTGGTGATTTTGGGGCGTTAACACCTCAAATTCTAAGTTTTTTAAAAAACTAGTTTGCCTAGACCGAAATCCGGCTCTAACTCCCAAATTGGGAACCCTATTTGAGTCTCGTCTTCTCTCACAAGTCTCTCGTGCCTAGGCGGTTGTGTGTACCAAGTTTCGTGCTAAAAATAGAAAATCCTTTGTCTTTCTTTCTAGTTATGGAATTAGCCTCTATCATTTTGGGCTGTGTACAGTTAATGTATGGTTATTATTAGCTTAGAACACAAAGATACATTTTATACCTGATCTTCTGGTGGTGGTGTATATGGAGTCTCATCTCCTGCAGATTCCCTAAATATCCGATGGCCACTCGATGCATTAGGAACCTATCATAGTGCATACATAATGTGTTAATCATATTCAAATTTTATTATATATATATATATATGTTGTGTGAAAATTTAACTATCAAACAATTTAATTTATATCGAACCTGTCTGTTGGGATCCACACTTGCCCCCTGTGACACAAAGGCTATCATCTCAGCTCTTATCTACTGTAAATGTATAGAGAACTCTGCTCGTATCTCCTCTCTTAGCTCACCCCTCAACTCATCCCTTAGCTCTGCACGAACTTGCTGGGTGATCTGAACAATAGTCGATGGCTGGGGTGTTGACCGTGATGGCCCAGCACCATCTTTATTTTATATCGAACCTGTCTGTTTGGATCCACACTTGCCCCCTGTGACACAAAGGCTATCATCTTAGCTCTTATCTACTGTAAATGTATAGAGAACTCTGCTTGCATCTCCTCCTTCAGCTCCTCCCTCAACTTATCCTTTAGCTCCGCACGAACCTGCTTGGTGATTTCAACAATAGTCGATGGCTGGGGTGTTGACCGTGATGGCCCAGCACCATCTTTATACACCGCGTTCTGAGGCGCAGTTCTCCCGTAAGTGCAACAATATCCATGTCCGTCATGGCCTATCAACTCATGGAAAATGGCATTCCTAGACTCTAAAGTCCGACAATCCTCAAGTAGCATGAAGAGTTGACGATTAAACTCATCTTGTATTGAATAAGACATACAAGTCAAATATGCTTAAACTATGTCCGTCATAAACTATGCTTCACTTGTCGAAGTAAAATCATGTAATATAATTAGTATCAATGTTAATATACATACAAAACATATATATAGACAGAGAGTTTAATGCTTCATTTGTTGCTTTTAAAAAAATCATCAACCAGGGAAAAAAAACATTATTGTAGCATCCACATCTTTAACAACTTCAGAGCAAAGTAAAATAGCAACCAAAACAAAAGAAACATAATGGTCAGAAGGAAAATATGGATGTACAAGGACACATATATTATGGACTTAATTATAAATGAAAATAAGAAGAGATGAGCAATTAGTGATAATGAAATAATCTGCGACTCCCAGTCATCATTGGCACTATCATAAGAAGAAATTGAAAGGCATGTACCTTTTGGGCTCAGCTATCATTATTTCAATCTCTGCCATTTGGGAATCATCCAAGTCATTCATGTATATATTCACATCACCAACCATGGCTGGAAAAAAGGGCATATCATTTATAGACATGAATTTAGCACATACAGATAAGCAACATAAAGAAGTCAAGTGGGGTATTTCATACGCATATAAAACTTAATGAAAAATCCATACACAGATAAAAATTAATCTCCCTCAGTGATTCAATTTTGACTTCTTCCTTCTCAAAGTAAGGTTAGTGCTTTTAAATGCAATCAACTAGTGGACAAGGTATTTCATATATTGAGAATAGCATTGGGAAACTTGTAAATGATAGGCAGTAATCCAATGATGAACATGGAAATAATAGAAATTTAAAGTTTATACGCATACATTAGCCATCACAAGTGGAAGTTTTCATCACTGAATTATATATTTAATATTAGAAAAGGTTAATAAACCCAATTAAAAATTTACTACCCCTCAAAAACACTGCATGAATAGAAAGTGAAGAATTAAATTCTCTTTAGCAATTTTACGCATTCATAAAATCCATGCATATGTGATCAATTATAATCTTAACCATTCAAGAGATGTCCCCACTAAAAAGCAACTACAAATTACAATCATTTTAGGTTATGTCTGATTCAAAGATTTCAGAAGAGAAAGGAAAAGAGAAGGGAGAAAGTGAAAAAATATAAGCTAAATTTTTGACACTTTTCCCTCCCTATTTCCTTTCCCTCTACAAATCTCTACTTAAATTCAGAAATCCAAAACAACCTTAGGGAGCAACTTCAGTTCCCAAGACAAGGAAACATCTACAATGCTTAAGCCAAGGTGTTCCAATTAACAGTATAATCAATAACAACCAAATATCTATATCTACATTAGTACGAAGTGACTTAATCATCTATATTTGTCATTCTTTTTAAAATTAATCAAAAATATTTGAGCATTTAGCAAAAATTAATGGTGCTTTAGCAAAAAGGATAAAAATTAGAGATTGTCATTTTTAGCACAACTCTATCCTCAACATCCAAAACTCTAACCTTTCTTATAAGTGCCAATCACAAAACTCAATTCCATAAAAAAGAACAATCAAATTTATCCAACAAATTCAAGGGAAGTTCACAGACCCAATTATACACGAGAATCGAGTCTTCACAAAACAAAACAAAACAAAACAAAAACAAAACAAAAAAAGAAGAGGGTAGGTAAGTCGTATATTTTATTCCAAAAAATTAGATATTACGATGAAGTTCATTACATGCCTAAAAGGCAACACGCCCTTCAAAAAGGAAAAACACTCCTAGCTACTAACACACAATATAATCTACTAAATAGATTTAAATAAGCTCAAAGCGAGGCTAAAGCAATACAACACATTGGACAAATAAATTTTAAATAAAGTTCAGTCCAATCAACACTATTTGGTCAAGAAAACCCACCAAGGCTTCCAAACCATCCCATGGTCTTAAACAAAACCGCCCATGGTTTTGAAACAAACCCAGCATGGATTTGAACAAACCAGCAGCAAACACTGCAGCAGCTCCTTAGCAACTTAGCAGCAGCAACAGCAGGCACACATGGAGATCATTCGGCCAAAACTCCAGCTATGCTGGAACAAAATACCATCTCCAACAAATATAAAAATCTCATGGGAGCCCACAAACTCAAGCCTTTTTGATATCACTCTAAATGGCCAATCAAAGATTTCCAGAAAAGCACACAGAAATTTACCCATCAACAAGAATCACCACAAGATCTTGCGTACACAAACAAGAATCTTGAAAGGAAAGGGAAAATTTCATAGCAAATCTGGATAACCAAAGTGGGTTCTTAGTTCTCACCATGAAAGCTAGCACACAAAAAATGGAGAACACTAGAAAACACCCCATCCACCATGTAGAAGCAAACTCTTGAAGCAAGAGAATGGATAACCCAAGAGATTAGACTCTATAGCATAGAGGAGATATCTCAAAAACACAAATCTCCCCGCAAAATAAATAAATAAATAAATAAAAATAAAATAGTGTAGCCCAGGGGGAGGCATCAGGGTACTAAGGGGAGAAGATGGGGTTGTATAACAGCCCCCTTTCCATGGCTGTGGAAAGCCATAAAAAAAAATCTCTAGAGAGACCTTTTTCAACAGTGGTTAACCTTCACAAAATTCATACAAGCACAATTATAAGCACATATGTGCATGAAATTATCAATACAATAAAGAAATTTCATTAATGTCAAGTTATCAACAGTACTCCACGCTGAATATACATGACAACCAAAATTCAATTGCAATTGCAAACAACAAGAGTATCAAAGAACAGTAATAAAATAAAAAAATAAAAACCATTCAGTAAATAAAAGAGGGGGTGTGCAAGTCCAACTGACCTTCAACATGGGCATCTCCATGGATGAAGTCTCCAACAACCAATTCTTTATCCAAGACTATAAAAGTCTGCTCTGTAGAACAAACCCAACTTCAATAAGGAAATAATTGATCAAAACAAAGAGAACCCAGTTGAGATATTGATAAGAGAGAGGAGGGGGTTACTGTGGGGGTCTTGGGTCCAGGACAGCTGCATCTGGTACTCCTCATGGTAATGATTAAGTTGATTCATGCAGGCAATAATAGTCATGCCTCTGTGTCACCTTTTTCTTCTCCTCCATCAAATGGCATCACAATTCTATTTTTTCCATTGCCACCATCTCCATCTCCATCATTATACCCATCTTCAAATTCTGATCAACTTATTAGTGTTTGTTTATTGCTCTTAGAGCTTTTGCTTTTTTTTTTTTAATCTCGTAATTAATTTTTATTTTTTTTTTTTTTATCTCGTAATTAATTTTTATTTTTTGTTGGTGTATTATGATGTACTATAATTTAAATGGATGTGCATGATAAGAGATGAAGTCAAAATTAATAAAAAATGAGATTTTGTAAATAAATTAAAAAAAACTACTAAAAGTAAACACTAGCCAATTAATCAAAAATGAGATTTTGTAAATAAACAAACATAGAGCACTTACAGCTCTGAGAAGGAAACTCCAGCGAGAGTGAGATCTGGAGGAGGAGATGGAAGGAGGAGGGAGTTGAGAGTGGAAGGGTTTGCGAAGGCTGTTGTTCGTTGCTAGCTGTCACTTGTTGCTGCTCATCATTGTCGTCGTTCACCCTCGTCGTCGTTCACCCTCTTCAATGTATGGCATTGCTGAATGCTAGAACCCTAGAAAGCTTTTAGGGATTTTGGAGATTTTGGTTTCAGCAAACTTTTGGGGATTTTGGTTTCAGAAGCTTTTAGGGATTTTGGATTTTGGTTTCAGAAAGGTTTTTAGGGATTTTGGGAGAACTTGACTGCGAATGGGAAACAAATGAGCATGATAGAAAATTTTTAGTTTATTGCGACGGCATATATTAAACCGTCACAAATGATAAACATTAACAAATAAAACGATGCTGTTTTAACAAGACTTAGTTTGCAAAATTGTCCACGATTTGCGACAGTAACTTTTTCCGTCTAATTTTTTTTTTTTGACGGTAAACCAGGCGTCGCAATTGTTCCTGTATTTTTCTTGTGCATTCATTAGCGAAAGGGTCACTATCGTCGCAAAAGGTCAATTTGGCGACGGCAGATACAAGCTGTCGGAAAAGACTTTTTTTGGCGACGGTGCCTACACATCGTCGCAAAAAATAATTTTTGGCGACATCACCAACACTGTCGCAAAAAGCTCCATGTTATTTGCCTCGTTTTCTTGTAATGAATCTTATTTTTAAATTTTTACCACTCGCCAAACCCTTAAAATTTATAGTAAGGAAAGAATTAGTGAAAGCCATTGGTACAATAAAGTGAGGTAGCATGGCAGATGGTGTTCGAATATGAAGTGAACACACACACACAAAATAATAATAATAAATAAATAAATAAATAAATAAAAAATCACTAATCAATTAGAAAACCTCGAATGGTTACACAGTTGGGTTAGTGGAAGTCTTAATTTTGTTTGTGCCTCGTTATTGATTACTGACATCATACAAATAATGTTAAATCACCGTTGCACAATATTTATTTTCCAAATGTAATCACCATCTATAGTATTATTCAAAGGAAAATAAGATACAAATATTTTTGGATTAATTATATTTTTAATTCAAAAATATGAGTTTGTGCCACCAATATTAGAATTGCACAATAGTTGGTTCCAAATGTAATCACTATAGTATTACTCAAAGGAAATAAGATATAAATATTTTTGGATTAATTATATTTTTAATTAAAAAATATGAGTTTGTGTCACTAATATTTGAATTGTATCAATTTAATCCCCAATATATAAAATTATTTTAATTTTTTTCTAATTGTATAAAAAATGTTTCAATTTAATCCCTCAATCTAATTCTGTTATACATTTATACACATAAAAGTAGTTTCAATTCAAACCCCAATGTTTAAATATATAACAAAGTTAAATCGAAGAATTAAATTGAAACACCTTTTATAAAATATAATTGGAATCACATTGACATAGTTTAAATATTGGGAAATATATTGAAACACTTTTATATATTAAGGACTAAATTAACACAATTTAAATATTAAAAAAATCAAAATGACACAAAACTCCTAATTTTTTAGGGAAAAACTCATTAAGAATAAGCACCTTTTCTTAAATTTTTAGTCAAATTTTGATTTGAAAATAAGGATGACAAAAGCCAAACATTATTCTCATGATGTCTATCTATATAAATTATGTTGGTTTGTTATTGCTCTTCCTCAGACTGTGTGCTCACTTCCACTCTTGTTTCAATATCTAAGTCATCTTCATGGAGAAAACTTGGTTCCTCTATTTAACAGCAGCAGCAGTAGTAGTGTCCTTGGCACATTACTGTTTCTTACCTTGTTTGGCTATGAATGTTCCCAACTCCACCACTGATCAATTTGCTCTTTTAGCCTTCAAAGCCCATATCACTTTCGACAATCCTCACCATATATTGGCTGATAACTGGTCCTCAGCCACCTCAGTCTGCGATTGGATTGGTGTCTCTTGCGGCAAGCGCCACCGCAGAGTGACAGCCTTGAATCTCCCTGACATGGGTATTGGAGGCACCATTCCAGCCCACATAGGAAACCTCTCATTTCTATCGTACTTCAACATTATCAACAACACTTTCCATGGTCATCTTCCAGGTGAGATGGCTCGATTGCATCGCCTAAAAGTTGTCGACTTCAGAATCAACAATTTCGGTGGAGGTGTTCCGGCATGGTTTGGAAACTTACCCAAACTTCAATACTTACTTCTCTCAAACAACAGTTTCACGGGTTCGGTTCCAGCTTCCATTGGCAACATATCAACATTAGAGTCTCTCGATTTAACGTACAATTTTCTGGAGGGAAGAGTTCCTGAAGAAATCGGTTATCTTCCTAAACTGAAGAGGTTAGAGATGGAATTTAATCAATTTTCGGGGTCTATACCGCCAACCATCTTCAACATCTCATCACTTGAAATGATTGATTTCACACATAATATGTTGTCTGGTAGTCTTCCGGATGATTTGTGTGTTTTTCTTCCGAAACTTAAAATTCTTGCTCTTTCTGTGAATGAGTTTGATGGCCAAATTCCATCTACTTTGGGTGAATGCAGACAGCTTCAAATCATATCATTGTCTTCCAATAAATTCAGTGGTTTCATTCCAAAGGCAATTGGAAATTTAACTTTCCTTCAGATTTTATATCTCGGTCTTAACAACTTTAAAGGTATGATTCATTTCTATAGACCTATTTGGCAAGTTTTTTTTTTTAGTTTTTTTTTTTGGACTAAAATGATTAATAAAAATAAAATAAAAATTACTTACAACACAAATTTAACTCTTTACACTCTCATAATATAATTTTTTTATTTTATATTTGTATAAAATCTATAATTTTTTTTATTATCCTCATTCATAATCTTCTTCCTTCTCCTTACGCCCAAAACCTAAAAGTCATGTTTGTTTATGGGCATGGGAGGTGGGATTGTAATGCTATGGTTGTGGATGGGACCCACAACTTGTTTGGTGATGATTTGAGAAGGAGTGATAGTTTGAGCCTCCGTTTGGGAAGTGGGTTGGCTTTTTGACTTTTTGGCTATTTTAGTCTGGGCTATTTTAGCCTGGTTTGGGAAGGACTTTTTGGCTTTTTGACTTTTTTGGTTTTTTTTGTGAGAGAGGATTGTAATGATTATGGGTTGGATTTGATGTTTTGTTTTTTGTGGCTAAAATAGCCTATTTTATTTTTTGTAGCTATTTTAGCCAAAAAAACCTGACTTTTTGCTTGCCAAACGGAGGCTGAGAAGTTTAATAATCTCCGTCAATAGAAGAATTCACTTAATTGAATTTTAAATGGAATTAAAAAAATAGTAAACGTGAATTGAGTCTATTTTATATATTATTTTTTTTTAGCAAGTATAACTGTTTGTTTTAATATTTATTTTAAATTCTTTTAATATTAATTTTATTTATTTAGTTTATATAAAAATAATTTAACAATTCTATCACTAATAACCTCTTACACCATCATCAAAATAAACACATTTTTACTTAACTCTTTCACTAACAATTCCTACGTCAACAATCTTTACATTAACTATTTTCTTACTAACAATTTTATCCAATCTAATCTGCCAAACAAAAGTGACCAAAATTTGTAACACTAACACCACTATTTTTGAAACCAATCCTATTTTCAAACCCATCTCACTCACATTCCCAAATTTCATCTTCACAACCCCGTTTCTGATTCTTCAACAAAATCAACAACAATGAGTTCCCAAGCACCTAAATTTTCAAGATCTTTAAAAATCCAGAACCAACCTTCAAGATCACCGTCCTCTTCTCTTTTCTCTCACCTCGCCATGGTTGCGCTGAAGCAAAGAATCCTCACTTCTCTATCTAAGCTCTCCGACAGAGACACCCACAGACTGCCATTGAAGACCTCGAAATGATCATCCAAAACCTCTCTCCAGATGGGGTTTCGATGCTCCTCAATTGCCTCTACGAATCCACCGACCCAAAACCCGCCGTAAAGAAGGAGTCTCTCCGCCTCCTCACCGTCCTCTGCGCTTCCCATGGCGATTCCACGGCGACCCATTTGACGAAAATCATTGCCCAAATTGTGAAAAGGCTCAAAGACTCTGATTGGGGGGGTTAGAGACTCGTGTCGCGATGCGATTGGGCCGCTTTCGTCCCAATATTTGAAGGATGAGGGAGAGAATGCGGTTAGGATTTTTAGGTTTTGGGTATAAGAAGAGGAAGGTTAGGGAAAAGGGAAAAGGAATTATAAGAATTATAAACGTATATAATTAAAAAATTATATTTAGAGAGCGTAAAAAGTTAAATTAATGGTATAAATAAAAAAAATTTAAAGTAAAATGTCACATTTAATTTATAATTATTTTATTTATTTTTTATAATTATCAAATTAATTATAAAAATAAAAAAAAACATATCTATTTTTTTAAACATTACTATTTTAGTTAAGTTAAAATAATTTAAAAAAAATTAAATAACCAAACTAAAATAGTAAACCTCAAAACAAGGCATTGTTATTCTGTTTGATTGGGGTTTGACATATATTCAAAACAACAATGATTCATCCCACTAAAAACATCACCACTAATAGCACTAATGCATTAAAAAAATAAAAAATAATAAAAAAAAATACAACTCCAAGACCAAAACATCACATCATTAATGACGGGACCCACTGCCACCTAATTAGTGGGAGCACTAATTAGTGCTCCCAAGCATTTTTCATTAATTATTAGTTGTTTGAAAAACGTCAAAGGTGATAGAAGGGTGAATTTGAGTGATTTGATGGACCTTAGTGGATTTGAGTGATTTGATGGAGGGGTGTCGTGGAGGTGTGCTGCTGGTAGAGAATCCAAGAGAGAAGTGGTACAGAAAGACTTCTGGTGATGATTTGACTTAAGCATAAAATTAAAATTAATATTTTCTTAAAATGGTGGGTGTAATGATAAAATGCATGGCCATAAGACTTTGATTAAAATAAAAAAATTTAAACTTAAATTGATAATGTTAAAATTTTAATTTTGTACGAGAGTTTATTAATTTCACCTCATAATATTTTAGTTATTAAACTAAATGAAAAAAGATGTTTTAAAATTTTCATATATATTTATATTGAGGTCAAGTTTAGAAAGACTAAAAAAGTGTATTTTTTGTCTTTTTGGACTAAAAAATTGAGGTTGAAAATATGGATGTTTGGGTTAATTTTTTGACTTTTTATTGAAAAATGTGTAATAAAAAATTGTAAAAATTGATTTGTAGGAAAAAATTTGAATTGGGAGTTGTGCAGGCGTAATTGTTGACTTTTGGTGAATAGTGTTAACTTTTTAACTTTTTAAGTAACTTTTTGACTTTTTAACTTTTTTATTAAGATCCACTTATTGAGTTGAGTATATTATAATTTTACCCTTATATATATGACACGTCACTTATGTGTATATTTACCATATAAAAATTTAAAAAATTATAATCAATTAAATCAAATTAAAACAAATTTATAAATTTATTATCAAAATCAAATCAATTAAAATCATAAGAACAAAAATAACACAAAAACTAAAATATAAGACTAGCGTCGTAATTGTCTATTGAGAGGGTAATTTATGTCTAAATTGAGCCGAGCTAAGTAAGAGACTTCTTTGGTAATTGGGCCGCAAGATGGACCAAGGTAAAAGCAGATTTACTTCAGTTCAAAAGACTAGGCGGTTGTGGGCCGAGTTAGCTAGGCATTGTGCTTGGGAGAGCAGAGCTAGCTTGGCATTGTGCATTGGAGCACCGAGCTAACTCCTATCTCGTACTTGGTTAGCTCGGTATTCAGTAAACAACCTAGTTGGAGCATGTCAAACCGAGGTACACGCAGTGAAAAGAAGAATCGAGCTAGTTGAAGCTCGGTCTAGTCTGCGGCTTTAGCACGGTCATGTTGGCTCGATCGTATTGACATCCAACCATGGTAAAACCATCTCACTTGGTTTAAGCAGTGAGAGGGTGTTGAAAGGTGAGCATTATCTTTTAGGAATATGATTCCTAGGAGGACTCTACATGGAGGAGTAAGAGTTCTACTAGGATTGTGTCACACGGAACCTATAAAAGCTCACAACATAACCTATGGAGAGGTAATACAACTTTGATTCCCGAATACACAGAGCTTTTGTCTATTTGTTTGTTTTGCTGACCTAGGCATCGGAGAGGTATCTGGCACACACCCGCCGGCTAGCTCACGTTTGTATTTTCAGTAAGAAAAGCGACGACGTACGGAGGAGCGCAGACTTGATCAACAGGATTATACGAGAAGAATATTTCGCGCTCGTACAATTGGCGCCGTCTGTGGGAAAACTAGAAAGAACAAAACCTCTTGATCAGGTTTCTCCTATCTAAATTGGAAATAATGGCGCACAATGAAGATTTGCTGCAGTCCGCCATTGACGGACAAACCCCAGAAGGGGATGGGTGGCGCGAAGGTTTGCCTTCTATCCCTCCCATGGCGGATTTAGAGCCCCAACGACAGAACCCCCGGAGGGATGCAAGGGGGAGGCGGACTAATAGCCCCCGTCGCTCTCAAAGTCCAGAAGATAGAGGCGGAGGATCGATCCTCAAGTTCCAGAGGATCGCGTAAAGGAACAAGACGAGTTAATAAGGAAGATGGCGGCGGACATAGAGTCTATGAAACGCCAGATCAAAGGAAAAAGGGTGGCGACAGGAGAGGGGCTCAAAAGCAACACACCCCCTCGCCACTCAGAAGATCGTGGTAGACAAACCACACCATCGCAAGCAGAGAATAGGAGCCTCAGAACAGGCAACACTCAATCAAGGACTTCTAGGGCTCGTTACTCCAGGTCTGAGAGAACGAGAACATTGAGGTCTTACACTGAGGGAAGCACCTATCGGCCTTCACACACGCACCAAAAATCATCCAGGCAAACGGAGTTGCCTAGATCATCCGACTTACAGACTGTGCTTGAAGAAAGGGCACGATGGAAGGAGGATACTAGGGCACGCGACCCTTGTAGAGTTTCAGCCCTTGAGCGGTTGGCTCCTCGGACGCATGGAAGCATCGAGGTAGGAATGCCAATACCGCACCTTGCTTACGAACCGACAGACAAAGCATTAGCAAGGCTGCAGACCTCGTCGCTCATTCCGGTGATTGAGAATGCGCCCTTAACTTCAGGCTTCCTTCAGCCCAAATTCACCATGTATGAGGGGAAGACAGATCCCTACATGCACCTTAGCCACTTTCGCCAGGTTATGGCAGTATATCGGCAAAACGAGGGTTTGATGTGCATCCTATTCCCATCCAGCCTTGGCGACCTAGGTTTAACCTGGTTCGAAAGGCTACCGGAAGGCAGCATAGCCTCCTGGGCACAATTGGCAGAGGCGTTCGTGACAAGGTTCAAAACGAACACCAAGACGCTAGTAGAGATCGATCAGCTACTCTCCATTGACATGGGCGACAAGGAGACGTTGAGATCCTACAACAGTCGTTATTGGGAGACCTTCAACCAGATAGGAGATTGCCCAACAAATCTCGCCATCGTGCAGTACAAAAGAGGTCTTCCAATCGAAAATAGGTTGAGAGACTCAATCACCATGTCGCCACCCCTCACGATGGAGGCCTTAATGGAGAGAGTGCACCAACATATTCGGGTGGAGGAGGATGGTGCCTGAGCTAAAGCCAAATCTGGTGTATCAGCAGTACCAGATAAAAAGACTGCGACAAAAGTCAACGCGGTAGAACGTCCAAGTAGGAACGGGCGAGGCAGGCAGGACAATGGAGAGGACTAAGATAAAAGGTGGTTGAGAGTCCGCACTGCCATTACCACAGTGTTCAAAAAACCGATCTATTGAATTCTCAGTGAGATACGGGATGAACCTTTCGTCCGACAGCCAGCTAAGTTGGGAGAAGCGCAAAAGGACTATGACGAAAGATCTCGGTGCACCTTCCATAAGGAAAAGGGCACCGCACTGAAAATTACACGCCGTTGAGACAGCACCTGGAGGAGTTAGTGGCAGCTGGGCATCTAGACCAGTACATAGAAGGAGGGACACAGCCAGCCCCCCAAAACCACGATCACCCAAACGGAACGCCGATCAACGCCCCATCTTAAGGCGTGATAAACGTTACATGGGGTATTCGAGCCTGAGCGAGTATGTGAACTCAGGGGAATGATCAAGAAGGCTGAGCACTTAAGGGAGGTATTAAGTGCACAACTAGCCACAAAAAAGGGGAAAACAAAAGCCACGAATGTCATATCTTTTTCAAAAAGAGACTTGGCAAGGATATATTGCCCTCACAATGACGCACTGGTCATCACACTCCGCGTGAAGGATTATGACATCAAACGGATTTTGATCGACCAAGGGAGCTCGTGTGAGATATTGTATTATGAAACCTTCAAACAATTGAAATTGGAGGACAAAGACTTGGCGCCTGCAACATCTCCCATGATCGAATTTAACTCAATGCCAGAGTGGCCAGTGGGCAAGATAATCCTCCCAGTCAGAGCAGGAAGTATGACGAAACAAGTGGAATTCTGGGTATTGAAAGTCCCTTCCACTTACAACATTATCTTGGGAAGAACATGGCTGCATGCCATGCGATCAGTAGCGTCAACCTACCATCAAGTATTGCGGTTCCCCAACGAAGCTGGAGTAATTAAAGAGGTCTTTGGAGATCAAATTATGTTCAAGCAGTGCTTCGTCACAGTAAATGGCAGCCGAGCTGCCAAAGGGTTTGTTCAGATGGTGGAAGAACCTGAGAGCAATGAATTGTTTGCGGATGTTGGCAAAGCCGCAGAACAGAAGGCAGTGGAAGACTTGGTACAGGTAAGAATAGATGAAAAGAACCCGGAAAAGTTCTTTTTGCTTAGCTCATCTATGTCCAGCACTGAGGAAATAGAGGTCATGGAATTCTTGACCTCTAACATCGAAGTGTTTTCCTGGACGCCATATGACATGCCTGGCATTGACTCAAACTTCATCTGCCACCAATTGAACGTCCACCCAACTGCTAGACCAATTATACAATGCACTCGCAGATCAACACACCACCACGCCGAGATAGTGGCGGAAGAAGTGGAAAATCTTCTAGAGGTAGGAGCTATCAGAGAAGTGCACTATCCCAAGTGG